GCATCCTGGATGCATGCACACCCTCGCTTCTCACAGGCACGTCCTATGCGCCGAGTGCGAGGCGGTGAAGGGTGAGAGGAGGGAGCACTACCGGGCGATGAGGAAAGGCGCGGCGGACGTGCTCAAGGCGCTAAGATGGACGCCACCGAAGTCAAGGAGGCGGACACTCGCCCACACCGCAGAGTGCGAAGCCCAGGCGCTCGCTGTACGCGCCATTGCTGGGGCGACGAAGAGGTGCGCAGGAAGAAGGGAGAGCGACGAGGAATGGGAGGCGATGGAGCAACTGCTAGCTGGACGACTACCCGAGCCGAGTGTGATGGACCAGGACCCGCCAGAAGACATCATGAGGGAGTATGACACACGGGTGGTGACTTCACTCAAGGCACTGCAGCAGACGGCGGCATCAATAATCAAAGTACGGGAAGGGAAGAGGAAGGGACTCGAGGCGGAGAGGAAGGAACGAGTAGCCGCGGAAACAGAACGCCTGAGAGAGGGACAGAAGGAAAGGAAGGAGAGGATACGAGAAATGGAGTGGGCGGCGAATGCGTGTATTTGCTGGCGACGGAGGCGACATCGACAACGTGATGCCGAGGAGAAGGAAAGGGAAGAGGCAGAGAGACGCCTCGAAGCGGGGAGAGGCAGAACGACGAGAGCGATGGGGATGACACTCAAAACGACCCACTGCGAGCTCGAAGGCGAAGGCCAGCGCAGGAAACGCGGTGATAGGAACGACGATGCGGCGAGCGCCGGAGGGAAGCGACGACAGCGAGGGGACGAAGACGGCGAGCAGAGAGGAGAACAGACGGCGAGCGGCGCACGCGAGGGCGACCACGCAGGAGAAAACAGACGGGACGAGGGGAAGGAAACGCGGCCCGCCAGGAAGCGAAGGCAGACGGCAAGATACGTCGCCGGACCAGCGACAGGAAGCGCAGGGAAACAAAAAGAACAAGACCAGGAGCATGGAGACGAGGGAAGGCGCGAGGCGCTCCGCCGACAAGCAGCAGAGGCGGCGGCGAAAGTAACGACGGCCATGCTAACGACGGGCGGCACGGTGGAAGGGGCGAAGGTAGGCCCCTCTAGCATAGCGGAAGGGGAACTCGGCCTACTGGCGACGAGGAGGCTAGAGAAATTCGAGGTGTGTAGCATCTACACTGGGGAGATCTTCCGGACAGGAACGGCGCAGCCACCAGAGACAGTACCAGACGAACTATCACGACACACGGCAGCAGGGGGGACGCAGCTGGATGGAAGTGACGACGAGAGCGGGGACGACTTTGACAGCGGAGCTCTCCGTGTTGCTCCCAGCGCCCTTCCCCGCGCTCCCTGGACCACAGAAGGAGCAAGGATAGGTGTGAAGGTCAACATTGTGAACTATGCAAAAAAAGATGTCGCCACTATGGCGACGGCGACGGCAGAGGGCAGTCCAGAGACGTAGGCTGACAGCGCTGCGGGCCCCGTACCGGAATAGAGCCGGCCACAGGCCGTGGCTCGAGAGCGCCAACGCTCCGAGCCACCGCTGCACGCACGCTAGACTAGACTGACAATCCTAAGATAGTCCTCGGAGCGGCCGAGTACCCACCCACCCTCACGCACAGTCAGTGTTCAGCGCTCACTCAAGGAATGGCCCAATGCCGTCCCGCGCATGCAGGGATGGTCGGGTGATCGATCTGCATGTTACATGCGCGCCATCCTTACTTGGTTGTGCTCGCGTTGCACTATTGCATCCTACGTCTCGAGCGGAGAAGGCCTCGGCAATGTTACACTGTCTCCTCGAAGGCGGAGAAGGCCTCGGCAATGTTACACTGGTGGGTGCGTTCACTTCAGTGAGCCAATTGTGGACCGCATAGACCCAGTCGATGCCAATTGTGGCGGGGGGAAGGGGTCGGGGGCAGCCACATAGTCGATGCTCACGTACGGGTGGAAGAAGTCGCTCAGTTGCCAGTACACTCCCTGCGAGTACACAAACTTGTGCCCACGCGCCAAGGCAACAAACTCGTAAAGGCGCTTCAGGTGAATGACATCGCCTAGCTCCTGGTAGAAGCTCAGCAGCTCTGGGTCCGAGGCGTTCACCTTGGTGACGGTGGCTGCGTGCAGTGTGAAGCGCGAGGTGTTCATCAGTGGGAACGACCCGCTGTCGCTGATGCGGCTGAGATACTCCAGCAAATTTTGTGCGCCCGTGTTGCACGTCACGTCCTCTATGCGGTCGGGGGCGCCGGCCTCCTTGCCCGTCACCCGGAACGGCTGGTACAGTGCGGAGTGGTTGTACAGGGGCATGAAATCGGAGGCCAGACGATTGAGGTGCTCCCCGCGCACCTTCAGCACCGGCTTGAGCGCCTTGGTCCAGTGCTTGGGGCCCCAAAACAGCCCCCCGGTGCAGTTCGGGCAGTCCGGAGGCCTCAGGCAGTAGCGAGCATTCCATGGTGTTTGTCCGGAGAGATGTGGGACGATGCCTCCGACGAGAGATGTGGTGGAGTCGAATTCCATGGTGTAGTTCCGGGCTACGCCTTGATCAACAACCTCGAATGCGACAGCAGTGTGGTAGAGGTGCATGCGATCGGTAATGTCCCCGACAGAGGGAAGGGGGAAGGGGGGGGGGGGGAGAATCGAGAAGAGCGGAGCCTGCAGCCAGTAAATGGTCACAACTGCGTTGGCCGAGAATCGCGGCATGTCAATCCCGTCGTTGCAGAAGGTTGCCGTCGGCGTCGTGTCCGGCGCGGGCGCAAAGGCGCGAACTGCAATGAAGTAGGGGAGCAAGATCGTGATCTTCATCTTGAGGAGGGTCGAGCCGCGGCGCCTATGGCACGCCCGGCGTGAGCTTCGCGACGAGGCCGCCGGGAGGCCGAGGTGGGCGCAGCCGCTTTGGCGGCATTGGATGTGAGTGCACGAACAGCTATATGGCATTGTGGAGATGTACGGGGTCTGGAATGCGAGGGGAGGGGAGGGGGGACAAAGTGTCGGTTAGCCTGCGGAAAGGGGGGGAGGGGGGGCGGGCGGGGCGGGGCGGCGGGGGCAGCGGCGGGGGCGGGGGGGGGGGGGCTCAAGAGGGCATACATGTCAGGCGGCAGCTGGCTGGCAAAGGAGGCGGCGGACAGGTTGCGATTTCGGGAAGCGGTGGTCTGGAGGCGGCGGCGGCTCGGCGGAGGGTGGCGGGGGCGGCGGAGGGCGGCGGCGGTGAGGGCTGCGGAGGCAGCAACCCGAGCGGTGGGCGCTGCGCCCGCGTCAAGAGGGAGCCGCGCGTATGGGGAGGCGTCGGCGATGGGGTCGGCGACGTTGAGCGTCAAGGCGACGAGGTTGTAAGGAAGAATTTTGGGCCTGCTATGGCACGGTGTGGTGGTGGGTTGATATATGAGCCGGATGGGAGGGGGAGGAGCAGGCGCGCATCCGCGTGTTGGCAGCCGGGGCGGGGGTGGGTGGGTAGAGCAAGATGCCGGGGAGGACAGTGTTCCTCTCCGCGTGCCCCCTCGTCCAGCAAAGGTGGCTCTGCGCCCGCGTCAAGAGGCGCGCGCCGCGAGCGCAGGGGGAGGCGCTCGCCTTGATGCCGAAGCCGGCGGTGATGAAGGCGTCGGCGATGGGGTCTGCGACGTTGAGCGTCAAGGCGACGAGGTCGGGGCAGGAGGAGGTGGACGGCAAAGCGGTGAACGAGTCGGTGGTGCTGAAGTCGGAGGTGAGCTGAGAGACCCGAGCGCCGAGGCAGAACCCACACGCAGCGAGAGAGCTCCCTCTCCGCCGACGTAGCAGACATTGCCCGGCACGAAGAGCGTCAAGGGTACGCGCACGCCAGCCGCCGCCGTTGGGGTCGCAGTCGCCCGTGGGCTGGGGTCGAGGGTCGGGAGCCGCTGTGTGTCGCGCGCGCTGTGGGTGTCTTCTCGGTGCGTGTCAGATCTAAGATGGAGTCCATGCGCCGGCAAACCTGAATCGTCGCCTACACAAGCAGAATGCGCGGGGCGTCAGAGCGCCGGCCGGGCGGAGCGGGCGGAGCGGCGTATGTGCGAGGGAACGCCTGGATTCTTGATGGAGCAATCGTCGTAGCTTGATTGAGCAATCGTCGCTGCCGAGTTTTTTTTGTGTGCGCCTTCGTTGTTAATAGTACAAACCCAATGGTCCTCTGCGAGCGGTCCTCCGTTGCAGTCACGCACACGCACACGCCATGCCGCACCGCGCGCCCGCCCACCGCCCCGCCCAGGCGGGAAAGAGACGAGGAGATGGGACAGCGAAGGAGGAGTACGAGCACGTATGGGAGGGTTCAGTAATGCGCCACGCTGCCCGGCGTCTCTCACTTTCCGGGACAGCCCCGCCCTATTTTCTCCTTTCCGGGCACGTGGGTCGCGACGCATAACCTAGCCCATTTTGACTTTCTAGATTGTGAGCTAAGCCCTGCTCGCAACCCTCGAGTTTGATCGGATTGTGAGCGCGCTGGTAGTAGTCCTGGGCGTCACCAGTCACACTGTGAGTCTGTGAGTGAGCGGAGCTGCTCATAGTCCTAGAAGAAGTAGGATTGCGAGCGTGGGTGCTCACAATCGCACAGAGATGCTACGATTGCGAGGAGTGCTGCTCACAATCCTTTGTGTGTGTGCACACAGTCCTCAGAGACAAATGTTCATCAGAGTCACCTAAAAAGACGAAAAGAAAGTTCTTTTTCCGGAGTCGCTTAGGCGGCTCCAGTGGTGTACCTGTGTTAGTGCCAGTGCGCGCCAGTCCCGTGCCCAGTCCTGTGCCCAGTGTTGTGCGAGGGAGTTTTATTGTAAAATTCTTTTTCCTCCTCAGGCCGGCGCGCTGGCCGACGAGTCGGCGAGGGTCGCACCCAGCTATCTGGACCGCTGGCGCGGTGGGGTGGACATCGCGAAGAAAAGATAACCGATCATCATGGCTGCGAAAAGAATTTGCCAATTCTGCCCTCTACTTAACCGTACTTAATCGGGAGCATCGAACTTGCGCGGCGACCTTACGAGTGCACCAATACTCGTCAGCGAGCGCGGGAATATTATCGAGACCAGTCCTGCGCACCCCTTGAAGGCGTAGTCTCCCACACTCTGCACAGACGCCGGAATGGAGATGGAGGTGAGCGAGGAGGCGCGAGCGAACGCCCAGCCACCGATGCTGGTGACTGAGCAGGCAATACTGACCGACTCGAGGCCGGTCGCGCGTGCAAAGGCGCCGTCGCCAATCGTTTTAACAGAGCTGGGGATGACGATCGATTTGATACCCGCACAGCCCTGGAATGCCCAGTCGCCTATGCTTGTCACCGACTCCGGAATCGTCACGTTTTGCAGCGACGTGCATCGGTAGAAGGCGCCGTCGCCAATAGTCCTGAGGGTGTTTGGGAGCCTCAAGGAAGTCAGCGTCAGGCAGGAGGCAAACACTCCGTCCCTGGGTGCAGCTCGCACGCAGCACCTGCTCCATCAGCGGGAAGGTCTTTACAAAGCTGCCCTCCTGGGCGCAGCTCACATGCAGCACCTGCTCCATCAGCGGGAAGGTCTTCAGCTCCGCATGCTGCAGGAAAGCCAGCATATGCTCAACGTGACGCATTCTCTGGAGCAGGAGCGGTCGCGTGAGGTTGAAGGCCGACCGATAGATCCTCTCGTCGGCCAGGTTAATGTAAAGGGATCTGTTGTGCGTGGGCGAGGGCATCTCGTGTGCGTGGACGCGGGAGACGATGATAGGACGGACGAATTCATCCAAGAGCAATTGTGGCCGTGGCCGCTGTTTTCTCGACAGAGAGGGCCGCGCGGCGGCCTCTCTCTCGAGACCTGAGAAGCCGCCGCAGTGGTTTTTCTTGGTTGGTTGGATTGGGGCCTCGGCGCGCTCGTCGTGTGTGTGCGCGCGCGACATGGTCGGATCTAGCGACCAGCGGGCAGACACGCGAGAAGTGTTGTCATCATCAACAGAGTAACAACCAAGGACTGACCGACCTCGAGACAACCGACGTGTGGCCGTGTGTGTGTCTCAAAAAGGCGTCGTAAAACAATACTGGTGGAGTTCAGACGCCACCAGCCTCCTCTTCCCGCGCCACCAGCTTATCGCGAAGGCCAACGACACCCAAGTCGAAGTTCTTTCGCAAGCTCACCTGCTCCTTCTCGGGCAGTGCCGCCATTGCTGCGTCATAGGCCTCACGCACCGCAGTGTACGCAGCACGAACCTCCTCGAGGTCGGCCTTGAAATCATCCGAGCTGCGGTCGTCGTCGTCGAGCAAGTCGCTCAGCAGCAGGTTAGCCTCGGCGAGTTCGTCGGAGAGGTGATCGGCTGGCGAGCGGCCCGACAAAGGCCGGTGCGGAATCCGTGATGCGAGCCTCGGCATGGCGTGCTGCCTCCCTCCGCAATGCAGGCGGCCGACGCCGCGACGCGCGAGTGATGCGAGCATCGTAGCGAGCGCGAGGACTGCCCGAGGGACCAGAGGAGACAAAGCGGCCCCGCACAAAGCGTGCCGATCGCCTGCGTAACGCACGGGCGGCGAAGACACAGAAAGAATTCAACGCCGCGGGTGCGGACAGGCGCGTGCAGAAAAAAAATCTCCCACAGATTATTTCTTCCAGGGCACCCCAATCGACCCCAAGTCCTCCTGGAGGACCTGCTCGGGCTGTCGACTCGTTGGGCTGAGAGTCGCTTGCGAAGGCACCCGAAACATTTTCTGTCGCCTCGAGGGCAAAAAACGAAGGCGCTCTCAAAAAAGAATAAACAATTCCCGTGATGAAGCCACGGACCGCCTCGATTCCTCCTCCACAAGGCATGCCGCCGCGTTCGAGCTCCTCCTCCCACACCGCCCCGCCGCGCCGCGCACGGCTCTATTCTGCCGAAGGGTTCAGCCTGTGCCTCTCGCTAGCGCGCCCGTTTGAGCTGGTTATCTGGGTTGTGGCGCACGCCCGCCACGGTCGCTCGTTTGGGTCCCACCGCCTCCTCACCCATGCGCGCCGATCGAGGCGTGGGACAGCTGACGAGCGTTGTCCCTGTACGCGTGCAGGAGCATTTTTCTACGCCGCTGCTTCATCGCGCGTCCATGATGTCCGACTTGATGCCAAGCCATCGTCCCAGTGTATCGCCACGCCCAACCCAGCTTTTTCCCAATAGGTACCCTCCCAATAAGCCGAAGCCATCCCTGGCGTACGTTGCGGCGCAGCGCACAGCGAACCAGGCGCCGCAGCAGGATTCGCTGGAAGACGCCCGCTCAAAGGCCCCCTTCTGGATGCTCCAGTCGGTGCTCGGCTCAAGCGTGCCCGATGAGAACTGTGAAGTCGAGCTCGACATGGCCACGTGGCTAAATGCAAAAAAACCAAAAGGCACGTACCTGTACAACAATGTCGACTTTGTCCCCGTGCTCAAGCAGGTGGACCAGGCAAACGGCGGAAACCCTCCGCCTCCCGCCTTGGTTGGAGCGCCGGTGCATCTCTCTGTGCGCGCAAGAGAGCGCTCGAGAGCGCACATCCCCGAACGGCTTGAGGTTTAATAGGTTTTCGGCAAGTACATTACGATGGGCTCCGTCTTCGCGACCGCGAACAACGCGAGCGCAGCCAATGCGCTCGAAGACCGATTCTTCCTCGTCAAGGTGGAGGACGGCTCCTCATATTGCATCGGGGGGGTGACCTTCGCCCCCGCCGGCTCGTACATCCTCTCCTTCTCGGCCACCGAGCCGGGTGCGGGTGCGTTCGGGGAAGGGGTCGAGCAAGACGGCATCTGCGGGTGCATTGGGGAGGACGGCTGGGCGGCCGAAGAGCTGAAGCCGCTGGGATGTGACGGGCCCAAGTACTGTGTCTACACGAACCAGCTGAAGGTGCCCACGACACGACCGCGCCACACGCCCTGCACACATTCAGCCAGAGCACCCGCTCTCCCCTCTAGGTGCACGCGAAGATGTTCAACGGCATCCCCGACCCCGATGACCCCCCCGTTGACACCGTTGTGTCGAACCCGCTGAAGGGCCTGAAAAAGGCGGCTCGCCAATGGCGCATGTCCCGCTTTTCATTTGTCGGCCTATGATGCCGGCGCTTCACTGTAGGTGCTCGAGGAGTGCCACTTCAAGGACGGCGGCAAGGAGATCACGATCGTGGGGTGGAGCCTCGGCGGCGCCCAGGCTCAGATTGCTGCGGTCCGAATCGCCGTCGAGTACAAAGCCAAGGTGCGGCTCATCACTTTCGACTCCATCATGGCCTTCACGCCAGACTCGGCCGCGACGATCGCTGGCACGTTGATCGCCGACGACAAGGTCCTGCGCTACGACGACTTCCCGGAGCCGGGCAAGATCAACGCGCAGCGGCGCGACTCAAGGACATGCCGTTCGAGAGAGAGAGATTGAGCACTCCCCCGCGAATACTGAATTTTGAGTAGGTGGGTGGAGAATGACTCGCCGGCGTCGATCGCCCCCTTCAATTGCGCGATGATTGGATGCTGCCCCTTCAGCCCACACAAGATCAAGTACGCGGGCTGCTACCCCTTCATGAGCAGAGTTGGCCACGGCCACATCTCAAAGGCGCTGATCCTGAGCGGCTACCACGCCGGATTGCTGCCGTGCGGCGGAGGTACGCAGAGATCCAGCGCGATCTATCGGAGACTTAGTGAGGTCCTGGTGAGGACACCCTCTGCTGCCTCAGGCACGCCTACCTGGACCAACCTCGGCTGCATCCCAAAGAATCTGTGCTTCCTGTGCGACTCCAACCCGACCTACCCAGACAAATCGTTTTATTCGAAGCCGCCGGTGTCGGACAACCGCATGTACGTGACCAAGGCAGCAAACCTCTCGCGCTGCTTCGTATGCGGGTACTGCTTCTGCGTCCCGCAGGCGGCCAAGATCCACGGCAGTGGCGCCTTCCTGCTCTGGATGCTCTACAAGGGGGCGTACCAGAACCAGGACGCGACCGAGGGCATCTCGATCTACCAGCCAAAGGTGGTGATCCCGCCGGTCCCGGAGATGGACCGCTCTTAGACGCGGACAGGGCTGCCCAGCAAGAGGGCATGACGGGCGGGCGGGTAATGCCGCCTTCCCACCTCTCCCACTCACCCGTTGCGTTGCGCCTTTTGGCCCTTGCATGTATTGTAGGCGCTCTCCCCCTCTCTCGCACGTCTCCCCTTTCTCCTCGCGTGATCCGGTCTGCCGCCTCTCTCTTGAAGTCTCGCGTGTGTATACGACCCAAGGGAGGGATAGGGAAACGGCACGCTTCCGCCACCACACAGGGATTTCCATGAAGAAGTGGGAGTGCGGAGTAACAAAAAGATTTTTCAGCATAATGCATAAAGACGATTGTGCTGAGCGCGCCAGGGCACGCCACAGCGCCGCGGCGATGTCTCAGTGCGGCCCGTTTCCCTCCAACAGCTCCAACGCCTCCCCTCAACTCCTCGTAGTGCTACGCGGCCAGGCCTTCCGCACGGGCGGCCAGCACTCGCGGAGAAGCGCCGAGAGCGGCAGCACTCAGTGGCGAGCGTTGAGAAGCGTGCGGTCACGTGTCCTCTCGCCGGCGGTATTTCCACCTTGCATATCTTTCTTTGTACTTGAAATTTCGTCTTGTCCTTTCGCCTGCGGAAACGTTCAGCTCTCCCTAGATGTCCCCTTCGCCACGTCATATGTCCGAGTGTTGTTGACAGGTGGACAGTGTGACTCCTCGGGGTTTCTAGGGAGTCTTGAGGAAAAGAAAGAAAACGGACAACCCAAGGGAGGGATGGGAGGACGGCACGCCGCCACCACACAGGGATTTTAAGGAGAGAGAGGGGTGTGAGGGAGTCTTGAGGTGTGCAAGTCGCTGGGACGAAAAACAGCTCTCTCACACAGCAGACAGGCTCGACAGAGGTGCGGACTGGCGCGTGCTAGCACTAACACAGGCAAACCCAAAACAGAAAATCAAAAGAAAAGGTTCCCATTTTACGCCATTTCGCGCGTCCCTGCCACCACGAACATTGGCGAGTTCCAGAAGCAGTGAGCCTCAACGAGATGGGGCGGAAGCGACCGCCCGTGCCCTCGGTCAGACTCCAAAGCGCCACGAATGCCTCGCGGGGCCCGTGCGCTCGCCGGCTCCGCTCCTGCTTCTGCTGCTGCTGCAACTCGTTCAGTGGGGTTCTCGACCTCATGCGATCCCGCCAGAAAAGAATTTGCGATGCGCTTCATTATCGGCGACGTGTTTGGAAAGCTCCCCCTGCTACGCCGTCGTGACTGAGTTCATCACGCCGTGCTTCCGCTCGGTCCCTCCCCTCACTACGAGTGGCTGGGCCATGGAGTTCATCGACGGAGGCTACATGCTCGTCGGCGGTTCCAGCTACAACACGACTGCGGGAAACGTGTACGACTCCCTCGAAGTTGCGGTCGAGGACGGCGCGCTCGTGATCAATCTGGTGGCCCTGCCCAATGAGTTCTTCTTTACACTCTTCGCAGTCTATTGGATGTTCATGATGCTCGAAAGGGTGCAGCAAGCGAGGCTTGCTACTGCAAAGGCGATGAGGAAGCTTATCGATACGTCCAAGGTTCCGAAGGCACACGGCGAACATCCCAACACGATGCGGCCCTCTGGCCGCTCCTCCGGCCGCTCCTCCGCATCGCTCCGATCGCTGGTCGATGACGAGGGAGCGCTGCACAGCAGCCGGCTGTCAAAGGAGCTCGATTCTGCTGGCCGAGCCGAGGAGAGTCACCTCGGGCCGCTAGACTGGCTCCTCCACCGCCACCATGGCCATCCACGAGGAGAGGAAGATGAGAGAGAGCCGGCGCCCTCGCTTAGCGGCGATGGCTTTGTTAGCCGGGAGGCGATGGAGAGATGCCTCGACGTCTTGGAGAGCGCCGCCGACGTGGAAGAGGGCATGCGCCAGCTGCGGGCCACAGACCGGATGTGCTTCTACATGCACGGGCAGCGCCTTCGGAAGATGCTCGCACTTAGGCTTGCGGCGGACGCAGCCGCCGAGCATCGATTCCGAAAGGCCGCGCAGCCCGCGCTGCAGGCCACGCTCTGCTGGGAGCGTGCGACCGCAGAGCGTGCGATCGCCGCCGGCGAGAGGCAAGAAGGGCATGTCGAACCAGCTACTGCCCAAGAAGGTCGAGGCTTTTGCTGGGCGGCGCGTCATCGCTTTGTCGGCAGGAGGGTACCACAGCATCGCCCTCACCGCCGACGGCGCTGTCTGGAGCTGGGGCTGGGGACACTATGGCCAGTTGGGCCACGGCAACCAGCAGCGCCAGCTGCAGCGCCAGCTGCTGCCCAAGAAGATCGAGGCCTTTGCGGCGCGGCGCGTCGTCGCTGTGTCGGCAGGGGAAGTCCACAGCCTCGCCCTCACCGCCGATGGCGCTGTCTTCGCTTGGGGCCAGGGCGAAGATGCCCGCCTAGGCCACGGAGAGGACCTGTCGAACCAGCTGCTGCCGAAGAAGATCGAGGTGTGGTCGCGGGAGTGAGAAGGGGGGGGGGGGGTTCGGGCACTGGAGCTAGCTGGCGAGTGCGGCGCGGTCGGTGTCACGTGCGGCGAGGCAGGGTCGCACCCCTATTATGTATAAACACTGCAGTTTGCTCTCGCCCACATGTGTGCTGATGGCCTTTAGCCGGCGGTCTGGGGCCGGGGAGGCGCGGCTTTGCGCCTGAGCTGCGTCCTGCGTGAGCAGGCCAGCGCATGCAGCAAGGCCTTTTCCGCTGCGTATCTCCGCCTCACGGAGGCCAGCTGGAGCTGCCCACTCGCACGCGCGGACGCGCGGGGCGTCTGGCCGCGCAGCATCACACGCACCGGGGGATAAAATGTGCAAAGGGACATGCGTCATGCGGCGAGCGCCAGCCAGACAGCGGCCCGCAATGCGAGTGAACCTGGACGTACAGCCGTACGGCTCTAACTAGCGTACACGTTACAGTTGTACAAGGTGGAGACGATCCGCTCGGCGCTCTCCCTCCCGAAAGGGACGCTGGTCGCGATGCTCCAGGTCGCGCACACCACCCCCTCTCTGTCGGGTGCTTGTCTGAGATCAGAGGGGATCTGTAGCTGTCGGGTGCTGTCGGAGCTGTCGGGTGTTGCTGTCAGACGCTGTCGGAGCTGTCAGACCGTCAGGCTGCTGCTGCTGTCAGACCGTTGGGCCGGTGCTGTCAGGTGCTGTCAAGTGGTGCTGTCCGGGGCGCTGTCAGGCTCTGACACACACCAGCCACACTTATGACACTATCAAGAGGAGACCAGCAGGACTCTGCTGCACATACTCTAGTCTCTACTCTGCCTCCGGTCCCACCATCTTCTTCATGGTGGACGTCACCATCTTCTTGTCTGCCGCACTGAGAGAATAGCAGAGAGGCCAGGCAGGGTGGAGTGCTTCTTCAGGTACACCTTGCTGATGATCTGGTAGTTGCTGGTCCAGCGGAAGGCCTCCCCATCGTTGTCGCTCGTCAGCTTGTAGTACTCTTGCACGCTCTGTTCTGGTAGCGCGGGCCGTCTAGGGGGGTCCCGTCACCCTTCACCTCACGGTACCACCGGAGGATAAAGAGGCCCTTGGGGTCATTGATGAAGACCCCGTTGCTGCGCTGACTCATCGAGAGCTGGCGCCCAGGTACTCTGCGCTCGAGCTGCCAGTGGCACGGCGCGCACGTCTACCGTGCCGGCGGCGGCGGCGGCCGCCTGGGGGGAGCGCAGATGGCGGCGCAGGCGCAGGCGGCGGCGGCGGCACAGACGGCGGCGGCCACCCCACCCAGACGCCGTAGGCATATATGACTGTAGGGCCCCAGAAGGCTAGCTGGTAGCTTCATTTGTAGTAGCACAGCCGCGGGTCCGCAGAGGTGGGGCGGGAGGGTCGAGAGAGAGAGAGACCCATGACCATCCATGACTAGATGGACCAAACTCACATGCACATGTCTTTGCACGTAATAGTTTTTTATACCCTCTCAAGCTCATGGGGCACAAGAAAGATAGGCTGCACGGCCTGTGTACGGTCTGTGCTGCGGCTGTCGGGCTGGTCGGGCTGTCGGGCTGTCAGCGCTGCTGTCAGGCCACTGTGTGCTGTCGGGCTGTCGGGCAGCTGTCAGGCTGTCACGTTAGGGCCTGACAGCGACGGGTCACCTCTGATGTCAGGCTCTGCTGTCAGGCTGTCAGATAAAGGGTGGACCGTGAGTTGAGGAAATCGGAGGACGCGACCCACTTCGCCACAGACGGTCCCGCGCCTCGCCGCTATGACGGCGACACGGCCGCAGCTCGTGTGCGTGTCGCCGTCTTTGTCCGGAGTGAATACTCCAACGCGCTCGTCGGTGACGGTGTCCTCCAACCTGCGCCGCGCTCGGCGAACCTCGACAGCGCCTTCGATGGCATGCAGCTCTTTGCGCCTGAAGCTTGGAGAGCAGCTCCTCTGCTGCTCACACGCTCTGCACAGACGGCACAGCCTATTGTGCGGCTGCCACAGCTGTGACAGCGATGGGCTCGCCCTCACTGGCCCTCAGTCACTTGTGCTGCGGCTTGTGTGAGCGACACTGCTCGGCGACTGCCGGCACACTGTGAGACCATGGGTGTGAGGTAAACCCACGCTACCAGCTTCTACTCTCTTAGTGAGAAGACTTGTCTACTGGCTGGAGCCGAGCAGGAGGGCCCGGCGCACAACCCCTGGTCAACTCACGGGGTCCACAGCACCCCGTACGTGCTGCGGTCAGGCTGTCAGAGAAAGTGTGCTGTCAACGCTGTTAGGCTGTCGGGCACTGTCAGGCGCTGCGTCAAAGGTTTGCTGTCAGGCTGTCAGCCAGGGCTCAGTGTCTGTAGACTGTACCCACCCCACTGAAACCTCTCATATATGGCCACCACTCAACGACATTCGACACAGAGTCCAGAGATGCGACTCATCGGCTAGCCTGCTCGCCCTGCAGCTCGCTGATGAGGCGCAACATCGCCGCGGTCAGGTCGGCGTGCGCCTATCCACACGCCGTCGCCAGCTGTTGAACGTGCAACCCGCCCACGCGTGAGCACGCACCTCCCTCGCACGCCTCGGGCGAGAGCGGCGGCCGCCGCAGCAGCCTCGCCGCGGCGTCGACGTACTCCGCGCTGCGCATCCCCGTGAGGACGACGTCGACGGCGGGGGCGTGCATCGCGTAGAGCAGCGCGATGTCCTCGAGGGCGAGCGACGCCGCGTCGGGAAGGTGCGGCGCGAGCGCCTCGCGCGCGGTGTTTCGCACGAGCGCCGCCGCCGGAAGCGTCGGCCGCCCGTCCCGCAGCGTCAAGTGGCGCGCCTGTTCAGGCCAAAGACGTGAAGAGACGCTGTTCACAGCGTCCGCACCGTCCCGTGGC